TTTAATATTGTATTTTATACAGTTACTCACCGGTAGAAGAACACAATACGAGATACACAGAGTCCTTATCTTACAAAACATTATGACAGCCACGTGTCATATTACTGACATTTAGCAGCAGTGGCTTGTGATATATTGTTTCATTGCTGAGACGAGTGAAAAATATAAGAAGTAAAATTCTGCCAAATTGTTACAATGCTGACAAAAGTTTGTTTCCCAGGCGATCATTACATCGCCCGTTATAACATATCAAGTAATATAAATGAGCCCTCTAAGTACAGTATACCTACGTAGGGGCAAAATCATGTTCGTTTGTACACACACGAAATAAATACCGTATATAAACGGCTCCCGGTCACTTGGCCGACAGACGTTTGGCCGACGGACATTTCACCGATGAATATTTCACTGACGGACATTTGGCCGAACGGACATTTAGCCGAATGGACAAATGGCCGAATGGCCGAACCTAACCTAACATAACCTAACCTAGCTTAAACAATTGTGCAAAAAATAATTTCCTATAATGCAAATGTATCGCGATGCAATTATGTTATCTTTTTATCCTGTGTTTTATAAAGTAACTACAATGCAAAGAAGAAAAATAAAAATAAAAATTAAAATTAAAAAGGCCATATGTCCGTTCTGCCAATTGTCCGTTCGGTCTACAGTATTGTCCGTTCGACCAAATGACTGTCGGCTTAACGTCCGTTTGGCCAAATGTCTGTCGGCTTAATGTCCGTTCGGTCAAATGTCCGTCGGTGAAAAGTCCGTCAGCCAAATGTCCTTCGGCCATCTATCCGGCCACTTATATAAACACACAGTTGGGACCACCACCGCTACGTTCCCTCATTCGGCCTACGAGGGTATCTGGGAAGGCCCAGGACTATGTATTCTGTTGAAATTCCGTTCTCCAGAACCTCTTTTACCCAAACTCATTTATACCTCAATCAGTTCAAATCATCTAACTTCAAATATCTTCAGTATTTGGCAAGGGGCTGCCTCGGTGAATATAATATATTCACCGTTATATGTTATTTAACAACGGTACTCATCTGATCTCTCTCTCTCTCTCTCTCTCTCTCTCTCTCTCTCTCTCTCTCCCCCTGCGCTTTTTAACAAAAGCTGCAATAAACATTGTTTAAATGTTGTCAAAACACTTTTGTGAGAGACTTTTAATCAAGGCATTAGACAAATTTTTCACGATTAATACTTTCCACGAAGAAAGCAAACTGTAAACATCAAATGAAGAAAGTAAACAAACTGTATGAGGCAAAGACATTCTACAATGAAAACGGACCAACTTTGTGAATGACGAACATTCTCCGAGGAAACCCTACCACCCAGTGTTGACTGCTGAACAGAGTCCTCAGCTACAGCCTGTGTGGAATAACACAGGCTCCCAGTAGGGTATACAATACAATATAATCTTCTGCACCTCAACTTTCCTAGCTGGATCTGCTCGACGAACTATCCTTGCTAAATATACTCTCACCCACCACAACTTTCATTTCTCTTCCACACAACCTTCCCTCAACCTATAATTTTCCTCTGGAAGTCAGGTGAAAAGCTACCATAACTCAGTCCTGGTTGGAAACTTTCACATTATATTATCTCCCGCGGGCCGTGACATATAGCAGAGTATTGGGGCGTTCACGTAACATACCTTCCCTTCTCGTCTGCTTTCCATGATCACATTAATCTACGGTCTCCTTGTTGCTTATAAAATTTGCTGTTGACTAGACGATGAACTAAGTCACTGGCCTGTTCCCAAGTGCGGTATAACCGTCGGCGGGATAATGGAGTAGCAGCTAAATCGATAAGTGTTTTGTACTCAGTAAGATATGTACAGATTTAGACGAAGTGTAAGAACTTCCTCAGTCGCCATTCTATAACGGTGAACTATGTATAAAGCTCTACACTACGACGGTGAACTATGTATATAACTGTACACTACAACGGTGAACTATGTATATAACTGTACACTACGACGGTGAGCTATGTATATAACTGTACACTACGACGGTGAACTATGTATAAAGCTCTACACTACGACGGTGAACTATGTATATAACTGTACACTACGACGGTGAACTATGTATATAACTGTACACTACGACGGTGAACTATGTATATAACTGTACACTACGACGGTGAACTATGTATATAACTGTACACTACGACGGTGAACTATGTATATAACTGTACACTACGACGGTGAACTATGTAATAACTAACTGTACACTACGACGGTGAACTATGTATATAACTGTACACTACGACGGTGAACTATGTATATAACTGTACACTACGACGGTGAGCTATGTATATAACTGTACACTACGACGTGAACTATGTATAAAGCTCTACTGTGAACTATGTATATAACTGTACACTACGACGGTGAACTATGTATATAACTGTACACTACGACGGTGACTATGTAAACTACTACGACGGTGAACTATGAATATAACTGTACACTACGACGGTGAACTATGTATATAACTGTACACTACGACGGTGAACTATGTATATAACTGTACACTACGACGGTGAACTATGTATATAACTGTACACTACGACGGTGAACTATGTATATAGCTGTACACTACGACGGTGAACTATGTATGTAACTGTACACTACGACGGTGAACTATGTATATAACTGTACACTACAACGGTGAACTATGTATATAACTGTACACTACGACGGTGAGCTATGTATATAACTGTACACTACGACGGTGAACTATGTATATAACTGTACACTACGACGGTGAACTATGTATATAACTGTACACTACGACGGTGAACTATGTATATAACTGTACACTACGACGCAGTGAACTATGTATATAACTGTACACTATGACGGTGAACTATGTATATAACTGTACACTACGACGGTGAACTATGTATATAACTGTACACGACGGTGAACTATGTATATAACTGCACACTACGACGGCGAACTATGTATATAACTGTACACTCATGACGGTGAACTATGTATATAACTGTACACCACGATGGTGAACTATGTATATAACTGTACACTAAGACGGTGAACTATGTATATAATCAAACACTACGACGTAACTATGTATATAACTGTGCAATTACGACGGTGAACTATGTATATAACTGTACACGGCGACGTGAACTATGTATATAACTGTACACTACGACGGTGAGCTATGTATATAACTGTACACTACGACGGTGAACTATGTATAAAGCTCTACACTACGACGGTGAACTATGTATATAACTGTACACTACGACGGTGAACTATGTATATAACTGTACACTACGACGGTGAACTATGTATATAACTGTACACTACGACGGTGAACTATGAATATAACTGTACACTACGACGGTGAACTATGTATATAACTGTACACTACGACGGTGAACTATGTATATAACTGTACACTACGACGGTGAACTATGTATATAACTGTACACTACGACGGTGAACTATGTATATAACTGTACACTACGACGGTGAACTATGTATATAACTGTACACTACGACGGTGAACTATGTATATAACTGTACACTACGACGGTGAACTATGTATATAACTGTACACTACGACGGTGAACTATGTATATAACTGTACACTACGACGGTGAACTATGTATATAACTGTACACTACGACGGTGAACTCTGTATATAACTGTACACTACGACGGTGAACTATGTATATAACTGTACACTACGACGGTGAACTATGTATATAACTGTACACTACGACGCAGTGAACTATGTATATAACTGTACACTACGACGGTGAACTATGTATATAACTGTACACTGCGACGCAGTGAACTATGTATACAAATATTTAAAAAAAAAAGTAAAAAAAAAATTTTCTAATCTAGGTTAAGTAAGGTTTAGGTTGGGTTAGGTTATACAGTAATATTAAGTAAGGTTTAGGTTGGGTTAGGTTATACAGTAATATTAAGTAAGGTTTAGGTTGGGTTAGGTTATACAGTAATATTAAGTAAGGTTTAGGTTGGGTTAGGTTATACAGTAATATTAAGTTAGGTTTGATCATAATTAATCTGGCGGAGGACTGTACAAATCACCCCTAAACATCATGCATATTGCACTAATGTAACACCTAGCTCACTGGTGTCTTCCGTGTTGCTGAGAGAAAGAGGGAAAGTGTCGCATCATTCACCTGCTGTTTCAAAATAAATTGCGACGTATAAAACAAGTTCATTAAACATAATTCATAGTTGTGTGTGTGTGTGTGTGTGTGTGTGTGTGTGTGTGTGCGTGTGTGTGTATTGGAGAAGTGTAAGTGTCGAGCATTGAAGTGATCTGTTCTGATGGGTCCATTATGGTAGCATAGCAGACAGAAGACCGTGCACAGTGTTTACAGCGTCGTACAAACTATGACTCCTGCTACCGTGTGCACGTCTTCAGAATACCACACAAGATAAAGGATTTCTATTAGGCACCCGTGTGTAACTATCAATTAACGACCTATTGAACAGTTCATATTAAACGAGCAACAAGAATAACATAGGATTTAAAATGTAATATATATATATATATATATATATATATATATATATATATATATATATATATATATATATATATATATATATATATATATATATATATAATGATTACGATGTAGAGAACCACATTCATATTTACGCTTCAAAGGATTAATACAATTTCATCTCACCGGTGAACATACAAAGAGCGATAAACGTTAACTCATTTACCCACTTATGTAGACATTCAATGGCTCATTCTCTGGTCCTTACATACACTTAACTGTACAACACCTACTCTTCCACCCACCTGCTCACTTCCACACCCAATTAACCATACGCCCACTCACTCACACTCTCAATTAACCACACGCCCATTTGAACATCCACTCCCGCTTCCACTTACTCCCACAACCCACACGCCCACTCACCCATTCACACACCTAGTGACCAACATCAGGCAAGAGGAACTTAC